GCAGTCGAGGCAAGGCGCCAAATTCGGCGCTACCCTGTACACCTCGCCAGGCCGCAGCTTCGTCGAGTTGTCGTTGCGAGCTTATCCGCCCGGCGAGTTTTTAAATCTGGCGCACGGCGGAAACGATGCGCTGCCGATTGCCGTCCAACTTGACTCTCGTCGCGGCGGGCGCGCCTGGAGTAACCGTCCCCTCCTCGCCGCTATCGTCGAACGAAATTATTCATCGGCAAAGATAAGGTCTTTTAATTAATTCGCTTGGCGCGCGGGTTATACATCCTCCCCCTCGGAGCGCGTCACTTATCATCGGCTTCGAACCATTACCTCTCATTGGCCATTATTCTAATTTCACTTTCGCAGGCGCGCGCGCGCGCGCGCGATATCGCACCCGCCGTTTCTTGCTTTCTTTGCGAGCATAATAAATTTCAGCTATGCTCGTTTTAGCTCCCTCGCTCCCTCCCTCTCGTGCTTTTGTTTACGCGCACGCGAAGATACCGCGTTTATCTTATCTCTCGTCCTTAATTTTCATCTCTTTTACCTGAGCTTTTGTGTAGTTTTCATTATGCTTTTTCATCGTCGCCACTCCCCTTTTTACTTCGCCATCCGCTTTCTCTCCAGTTTCTCTTTCTTCGTTTCACGCGCGAGATGTGTTAATACAAAAATTAACGAACTTGTAAATGGTTTTCCGTTAATTGGACGAAATTGTTAATCATAATCTGGAGAAACACGACGAAACTTCAACTTGATTTGCTTGACTGTCGCGCAGGTAAATTTGAAAAGGAGAGAGCATACGAATTCGAGTTTTAGCATAACAAAACTCGAAGATGGCACCAGCGGAGGGCACAGCGTAATTCTCAATACAGATCTCGCGAGCGAGAAACTTGGCTTTCATTCCTTTATGAGCCGTGCACGGGCGGTATGTCGCGTTACTTACCGTCATTTCCTCGTTACATGCTTGCGCGACTTCCTTTGCCTTATGGCAGTAAGCAGCGTGAACTCAAGACTGCAGGTACACGCAGGATTCACTATGTTTACTCGACGACGTCGCATAGTCGTGTCAATCAGCAGCAGGGCTTTTCGATAATAGATATTTGCGCCGACTGCCTAGGCAAAAGCAAGACTTCGTGATTTGACTATGATTTTCCTCGAGGTTTTTGCGCTCTGCTCTCCAACTCCCACCGCGAAACGAAACTTTTCCGCAGTGAAGGAGGGGGGGAGGATAGGAAAATCCATGTTTGTCTTCCACCTCTTATTCACTCTTGCACTTTCGAGCGTTTGTTCTCGCGCGCACGAGCTTGCAGTCGTTCTTGCGGCTAATGTCGACGGATATTGAATTCACTGATGGCGTCGAGCTTGGGATGAAACATTTTCTCAAAACACCGAGATAACGCACCTTCTACTTCAGCATCCCATTTGAACTTCTTGCGCGGAGAGAGAGAGAGAGAGAGAGAGAGAGAGAGAGAGAGAGAGAGAGATTTAGTAGCCAAAAGTCCAGCGCCAGAGTGTACGCGAGTACACTCCAATCTTTATCGCGCCAACTCGACTGCTCGCGCTAAAACTACTTGATTCACTGCATTTAAAATGTTTCCTAGCGTCTTTTGGAATTTCGAACTATTTTATGCTGTCCTACTTTTCAATGTTCAACGTGTACAAGTTAGAAACTTTCGAAATTTATTTTCATATTTCTGATATGGACGTATTTGCAACATAGGTCAATTTCAAATGCATTAAAGAATGATACTAACATTACCATTGAAGAAAGAATTACTTTAAGAAACACTGTTGTTATGAGCATTATTCTTTTTTAGAAAAAGAATGTTTCATTTTTGCGTTGATTGATGCGTATAATTAATTTACAAGACAAATTAAAAACAAATAACTTTTTCTCAATCACGGCAAAACCTTAAAATCCTATGTGTTTAAATTTAAACGTTTTAAATGTGTAATTGTGACGTCACCCATAAGAAATACATTATCGCTGAATTTAAACGTTTAAATTTAAACACATGGGTTTACCGTGAATTAGCATTTCTTTGAGACATTATTTTTTCAAAAATTCCTACTTCAATAAAGTAATTATTTTTCCTCGTTATATTATACTAAATATTAGGTTATATAGTAAAGATCGGAAACATCTAAGATTGAATTTAAATAAGTCGAATCAGAAAAGAAAGAAAAATAATTATTCGCGGCGTTGGTCTCGTTGGTGAGATAAAATAAAATCGAGTAAGCGATTTGCATATATAAAATCGCAATAATTGAATAGCCGAGTGCACGCACTTACATTAAATCGGGGCGAGCTCTCGCATTCAAATAATGATAAAAAAATTGAAAGAAAGCAAGCGAGAGCGAAGAGTTTCACACGGTCGTAAAAGCCAACGTCGACGGACGGCCCATCGTGCCGGTACGCACGCCCAACGAACGTGTGCCTGTGAAAAAAAACAAGACGAGGAAGCGAAAGGAACGGAGCGCCCCACGCTCTGCTCATTTGTTTACGCGCGCGAAATAAGCGGTTGGAGAAGGGGGAGTGGAAGGGGGACGCCTCCGCATGCATTATAAAGTATCTCGCGCGCGCGGTACGCGTGGCCAGCGTCACCTACGCGCGCCACGCGACCGCTTGCCTTTATTGCATTACGTGTACGTGCGCGTTGCGCGCGCGCGCGCGCGCGTGGTGCGCATGATATTCACACCCACGCTTCAGTCGCACCCTTCTCCTATCGGCCATCATCTTTTTCTTCGGTTTCACTTCCTTTGTGCTTTCTCGCTTCTTATACGATTCTCGCGCGCGACCCCACCTTTGTCTTTGACTTTTATGACTTTGCCCTTCGTTCGCCTTCTCCTTCCTTTACAAAGGAGAGATCCCTCTTTTGAGATATAACCTGCGCGTTCGCTTGAGAAGTTGCCGAGTTCCGATTTTCATCGACCATTATTTCTCTGTCGATATCGCGTATTTCGAAACTTATTGAGAAGGTAAATATGCTTTGTTTTCTCAAATATATCGACAAATTTGCCCGACGTGATCTCCGGGTGACATTTTTAATTTTTCAAACGAACTAGTCTATTCACGTAACAGAAAATTAGTTTTACATACTAATGCAAACGTCTCTCTGCAATCCAGACATCCGCAAGCAATTATCAAGTGTAATAGGTCATTTAATTATCTTGATGGGCTGATGTACGCGTTGAATATTAAGTAGAACACGCATCCCTCTGTTCTAAAAGACTTAATGAACCTTAAAGAGGTCGAAAGGAATCGAAATTAAATTCGTCGCGTAAGCTTAATTAACCCTGCGGCTAACCGTAATTGAACAATTGTCCATTTCTTACCATCCAAGCCGTAAGAATTGCGATTTGATTTTATTCGCAAGTGCAGTCGACGCACTGGGTATGTCGTGCCGAAAAATTCTCATGGAAAAATGCTCTTTATTTACGACGACAATGGATTTCCCATAAATTCCAGCAGGCAGAGCAACGTGACCGAAAGAGGCGAAAAGTTAAGTGTGTATCGCCGGGGGCACAGTGTGGTAGTGGAATGATTAAAAGCGAGGGTAACAATAGATTTACGTCGAGGACGGCGGTCGCGCGCGAGATCCTCTCGCGGGGGCAGCGGCAGCAGCGCCTTGTGCAAGAGTGTTCCCGCGGGAATGTGCATTATTGGAGGGCTGCCAGCTACGTTGTACGTACACACAGGGAGCGCCACTTTCAGTCCTCTATACTACTTTCGTTTCACGCTCCGCTCGAGATTGTCTGCAAGGAGTCGCCGCTGTCGGGCCGCTATCCCCCTTTGTCGCTGCTGCGCGCCACACATTTCAATTTTCGACGCTCGTGTCGCTCGCGCGCGTACCGCCACTTTTCACGTGTGGCTTTGCTCTGCCGACGAAATGTTTTCTAATTTGATGGGTCACGCGTGGCGCGGCTAGCGTCGTGCAATCCCAAAGTGTAGCGCTTTTCATCGCTTGCAATTTTCACCAGGTACATTTTGCTCTTTTTTTATTTGTCGCTTTCGCGTTCTTCCAATGGCTACTTCAATTAATTAACAGTAATCACTCGGAAGACTGACGTTTAATGCTCTTGACGAAGGCTTTTTTTACGCGCAATCGGACCAGTCTCAAACGATATTGGTCGACCTACCAACATTGCGCAATTGAAGCTTTGAGATTTAATTTGAATCGCGTTGTTATTCGTGAAACCAATAACCAATGATATCTTCCGAAATTCATCAAAATCGTATCATTGAATTTCCAATGTACACTTGATTCGCGAAATACTCGTGTAATTATTGCGAACACACTTTGCCCCGAATGGCAAATATACATTGTAAAATAACTCAGCCGGCTCTCGCACTTTCTCACGTCGAGCGAGAGAGTTTACATTCTAATTTCTCAAAAATGCATCCCTGGTCGCGCAAGCTCGCCGTGCAGCGGCTGTACTCAGCTCTCGCCGGGGAGAGAGAGAGAGAGAGAGAGAGGGAAAGCTCTCGAAGGGACGCGTGAAAATCCGACGATTTATATGGTTTCCGCCTAAGCGGAAATCGTCTGGTCCGCTGCCAAGCACGAGGGAGGATGTAACGTTGACAAATTTATATCTCGCGTGTAGAGCTAAAGGGCATGCGCACTGTCAATCTAGTGGAGCTCGCCGCATTACGGCGCGGATTCGCTTGCGAATATACCTCCGCGGCGAGTTTTGGAACGAACGACGACGCGCGAGCCCTTGTCAGAAGCATGCTCAGAGGAGAATATTGCACTGTTAGCCCCCGGCGAGTGTGAAAATAATTGACCTCGCGCGGTGTGCCATCGACGCAAATCGACTGCTCTCGCAAATACACGTATTATATATACACGATGCAATTATCTTTCACGAGCAGTTGTGGCTCGTCAACTTGCGCGAGCGCGTATTTTTATAGTCGGTGTACGCGCGCGCGAAATAAACGGCGACGGCGCCGAGCGGCAAAATATGCCAAAAAGCACGAGAGACGTTCAAGTGATGTTGCTTGGTTGTTGCAGGACAATGATAAGGTGACGACGCGTCACGCCAGTAGCAGGAGGAAGTTAGGAAAGCAGCGCAAGCGGTGGGCAGCAGTTGGACAAGAAGACACGCGAAAATGGCTAAGGGCTCGGAGAGATTGCCCGGCACCAATACCCGCATACGCACCCGCGACGACGGCTGCTGCTCCGTCAATTTCCTCAAATACGTGCTGCACATCTACAACGTCGTGCTCTTTGTGAGTATTATTTTACCCTCTCGAGCGCAGTCTACGGTGTGAAGTGCGCTGAGAGCCGGAGAACGAGTGGCCCGCTTCGGCTCGAGGAGGCTCTACTTTAATGTTCGCTCTCTGCCGCCTCGAAATCGTGCGCATCGCCCATTCGACTGCTTGACTGACCCTTACCGCCGACCTTCGCGCGCTTTTAGCGTAATCAGCGTCCCATTAGGAAGTCACTCGATGCGATCAAGGGTCCTGCGAGAATCATCCGAATCGGGCAAAAATTCGCTCGTTCGCGAGCTCATTCTGCCCGCCGCGTTGGCATATCGAATCAAGGAAAATACTGATTCATGCATGTATTCCGAGCGCTCGCATTTGGAAATCAAACAATGCTCTCGCGCTACTGCTCGAGCGAGACTTTCTCCGCGCCGGAGAAAAAGCCCTCGGGAGACGCGGCGAGGAGGCGGAGGGAGGGAGGGAGGGAGAGAGGAAAAATAAAAGGAAAAAAGATAAATTGGCAATGAACGCGCGCGCTCTGGTAATGCGACGTTAATGAACGTCGCGGAAGCCGTTGGCGCGCGCGCAAGCTCGTTTGCATGCCGGCGCGATTCGATTATTCCTCGCTCGCGACACCAGCAACATCGGCTCCTCAAGGGGGCTTCCGCGGAAACTCCTCTCGCTTTGTACTGTTGCGATACGCCTAGCTCGTTTTCCTTTTTCTTTTTTTTTTCAACTGCTCCCGCTTGTGTGCCGTTTACCTTTTTCATTCGTCTCTTCTCGGGCTTTTCCGCATTTCCGCATTGCCCCGCGCCGCCGCGCAAAATTCTATCTTCTCTTGATCGTCCGAATGTGCTTTGATCGTCTTCGATGATTATTCGTTTTGGGCCAACTTGATATCAATTCTCGTTATATACTTTCATACATAACAACGATATATCTAACAGCGAGAAGAAAAAAATATGTCACGAGGAGCGTTGAACCCATCAGGTCTAATAAACAACAACCACTTGATTTATCATCGTCGGTTAATAAATAATTCAACGGTAAGCAGTCTCATCATCATTATTGCCTCAGCCGACAAAGTTTCGCAGAATTTTCAATGGAGGTGGCGCGAGGTCTTCGCTCGCAAATATTTGCCGGCTCCGTGAACACGGGGCGAGCGTGCAGCGTACATTCGTAATAAGCTCTCGCGCGCGCAAGTCGCCTTGCGATATTTCTCCTCGTTTCGCGTTGCACACTTTACGACCGAGGAATGAAGTCTTTATTAGCATTTTATACGACGTTGGAGAGGACGAGCTTTCCCTGGCGGGAGACATCTCAGGTCTTATAGGTGAATGTCACCTTGAAGACTTCCAACGATAAGATCGATGGAGATCGCAGCTAGCGCGGCATGCAGTTTTTACTACCGAAAAATCACGCAGTGTACTTTTTTATGTTATATATGAGGTTACGGCGATCGATTGATGCCGCTTACTTATACGCGTTTCGGCTTTATTCCACATGATTTCCAATTTTATCGGATATTCAGTGTGCCCCTTTTGTCTTCGGGAATGATAAGAGAAAAAAGAAACAACAAAAACTTAAGAGGCAGTGAAATATTTCAAAGTTTTGAAGCTCAAGGAAAAGAAATTCAGAGGCATTCTTGATAAATTCTTCAGCTTTTATCTTTTAAGTATTAGCAAAATAAGGAACGCCTTGAAAGTTCAAGAGAATGAAGGGCAAACTTTTTTCTTGCTTGCCTTGCAGAAAAACTTTTTTTGACGACTAAAAGTATTAATTTTTCGTTTTATTATACATTTTATTGAAATCAATGTTGTGAATAATGTTGAGCTAATTTTTTAATTATTCGTTATCTTCGTCAACTCAGTTTCCTTACACCGGAACAACGGTTAAATATCAACTTTTAGCCAACGGTAAACCACACATACTTTTAAACATTCGCTGACGTTGAAATCGGTCGGTCGACTCGATAAAAGGAGAAGGATTAAGAAAAAGAAAAATTGAGACGAGTGAATAAAAAGTGCTGCAACTACGCAAATGCGCCTGCGGCTGGAAGTTTGTACTTTATCTAATGAAATAATATTAAGAAAGAAACAAAGTAACGGAAGATCAGTTCAAGATAGAATACTTGTTAAATCGCAATAAGATTATAATTTGTCTGAGTTAATTTTACAGGCAAACAGTCGTTAGTACTACGATAAAGAATTTTTGTATCGATGCACCTTTAACAATGATACTACGGAAATCGAAATGCGCAGATTGTAAATTGCGTTTCGTCACACCCGGAGCAAATTCAATTGAACGTTAATATTCAGACATGAAGTGAATTTCAACGTTAGATCCAAAATCCAATGGCGATCAAGCAGATTCAACTCCGGCATTTTTATCTCGTATCGAATCACGGCCGCTTTAAACTCTGAAGCAGGCTACATTGTAAGCGCTCACCGTATGACTCGATGATTATATCCCACGAAGCGCAAAAAGCCTCCGTAACACGAGAACTTTGCAATTACCGAACCTCAGCTGCGAGGCTCTTTTGTTGTTTTTAATGATGCTTGGGGCGCCTCGGCAAAACGACGAAAGCGCCGCGCGCCTTGCCCAATTATGTGTCGGAGGAACCGCGAGTGAGAGCAGCTTTACAGGGAATTTTTATACGCGGCTCGACCTCCTCCTCGTCAATTATGATTCGAGCTTTGCAGAGAAACTTAATTAAAAGGGGCAACGAGAAGAAAAAGCAGCGATCCGCGCGTGCGAGAGAGAGAGAGAGAGAGAGAGAGAGAGTAAAATGACGCTAACGTGCGCATAGGGGGGCCGTAAATTCGCGTCTGTCGGACTCATTAAGCATCGGGTGTGTTGGCCGAGTAAGCTCTCTCTCGGCGGCGTCCAAGTTCGCCTCGTTGTGTATGCGTTTATATAGCTATACGCGACAGGTGACCTGCTTCTCATTTTTGCTGCTCTCTCCCTCTGTGCCGCGTAGGCGTGACTCTCTGTACCTTCTCCCGTCTTAAATTATCGCTTATTTGCTCTTTCCTCGCTTACGGATGCGAAGGGGTCAATTGGTTATCCATTATTAAAGCGGGGAGCGCACGCGATTATATTAAACTTGGATTTTTGGCGGAAGAAAGAGCTATTGTTTGTTCAATATATCGCCTTGGTGGCAAATAATAGCTCTGGAGATTTGTATTGTAAAAGTATTTTTTTCTTTTGTACGGCTCGAGACTCGACGGTGTATCGGTGAAATTTATAGGGTTAATTCCGATTAACATTGACACGCTATATTTATCGCGTTGCATTTGGATGCATTGTATGTGCTTGCTCGCAGCTTGCACGCTTTCAACGCTATTTTATGGCTCGGCTGTTGAAGTTACTCAGCATGGATGCAAAAGCGCCGAGCGAGCCTAATAATCGATTGGCGTTAATTGCATCGCGAGACGCGGCGGCGTCGGCTCCGTTTGTCCAACTTAGCGCTTGCAGTAAATCAAACAAAAGCGCGGCCCGACTCGGTTTGAATCTACAATCAATCGACCAACGTGATTCGCTTCGAGAGTAAGCTAAAATGGAGAGCCACGCAGGAAGGGGCAAATGCGCGGAATAGGTGGCGAGCCGAGTAATACACCGATCACGTAGCGCTATCGGGCGCCATCCCGCCAGTCACCCCCTCGGAAAAAGCTCGCAACCCGTTGCCCGAACGCGGAGGAAGCTTCCGTCAATACCGCGCGTCGATAATGCCAACAATGAAAGACTGCGCGACGGCGCGCGGGCGCTCGTATTATGTGGCCGCGCGCGGGGCCGCGAACAATGCCAAGGAACAATGGAGAGCGCGCGTTAATTTCGACGCTGCGGTGACGCGAGGCCGCGCGCACCGTCGCGCTGCCTGAAATTTCGTCGGCGGATCGCCCCGTCTTTCCTCGAGCCATCGCTCGCCCCGCTCGGTCGATCGAGCTCGCTGTGCGCCTTTTACGAGGCTGCTCCGACTATTTTTCGGCTTCCAAACCGACCTCGCGTACACCGCGTTCCTTCCTCGATATATAACTTGCATTTTCGGGATATCGAGGATATCGATCTCGCCAAATTACCGACGGACAATCGATTTCCGTCGGCAATTTTCGCTGACTGACGGCGAGTAACGCTCACAATATGATTGACTAGCCAAACTATTACTCATCAAGCGTCGTCGTGTAACGGTGAGACTTCATTTGAGGCATGTGCGCGCGCGCGCGCGCGCGCGTGTGGGCTGTCATTGAATTTAGGAGCGAACGAAAACTAGAAGGTTTTGGCTAGAAACATTTCAGAAAGATCACGTTTGTTGACGATAAATTGAAATTTCAGAGTACCGTCGAAAAGAACGGTCATTCGAAATTTGAGTGTGCCCATTCCAACGGTGGACGACGTAATTCCCGGACTAGTGTCGGAAACGTTCATACTCAATTACAGCCGAGTAGTATTTCGAATATATACATTCGTAAAAACATTTATGAAAAGCCAACGTCTGTGATAAAAAGAAAATGAATGTTTGAATTTTCAACAGGCAGCACGGAAAAAAAATGACAGGATCTCGACAGACAGTTTTCACCGCTGGTTTCGCGTACGTTATCAGCTCAGCGCGCCAATCCACAAAGTCAGAGCTGAATGTGCTCCTGTGCGCGCATTCCATCAATGCCATACTGCCCCGGCCAATGAGCGCAATATCGCGGGTCGGCGCGCGTGCTGAATTTTCCATTGGTGAGAATTCCCGCGCTAATTTCGCGGCGAAACGAAATAAAGCGGCAAACGGAGTCCGACTTTATTCGCGCTCGTTATGTGCACACGCGCCTCCACTCTCGCCCGCGAGTATCGAAGCTCGCGGGTTAAAAGGATATCGTTCTGCGTCCGCGGGGACCGCGTCAGTTATCAATATTTTATTTACACATCAATCTGCTTTATTAATGCAATGCGGACTGTTTAACTTTACGAGTGCGTTTTGTCGTTATACTTTATCATGCCGGTGAATACAGAACATCTTGCGTGCAAAATGAAATTTT